TGAATTAAGGTGTACTTTCAATTTCAAATCGTCACAGGTTGCAAACACAAATATACGTATCTCTCAAATAATAAACGACTCTAATGAAGTTTTAAATATTGATCCCACGGAGATGTGAAAATTTGTTTGGAAAATCACGCAAAAGTACAATATTTAAACTATAAAAAACTTAAGTAAGAAAATATGTCGAAATTTGTTTAATGCCACTAAAAAACTACGTTTACTACACTAATCTCTAAACTTCAAAGTTAAATTTACTAAAACTAAACTAAGTTTTGTGACAAAGAGTTCAACTTTAAGAAAACATCATTTACCTTACAATGAGATTATAATCAATGACTCATCAAATTGAAGAAAATTGTATTACGCCAAATAGAAGCAATTATATTATTTATCCTTTTTATAAATGATAAAGAACATTGACTAATCCAATGTAAAGTCCCAAAATCCGCGGTTAGGCTGTGAATATACTGGCTCTCACTTCAGAGTTCCCACGTTCCCCTCACTTGAGGGCTAATATCTTACTTTAGTTTCCAAACGCTTGAACCAAATTGGAGATTTTAGTCTGTCGCCCTAAAATCTCTAATTCTACACCCATCAATGAATATTTCACGATTTATTTGCACTCAACCCCATTGACTGTATTCTCATCTATAAAATCGAATGTGATTCTTACTTTGTTGTGGAAAATATAATTCTATCGGATTGTATGTTTCACAACAAATTTTAACAATTTAATTGACAAGATCAAAACTTAAATGATGTTTAAAGTTTGAATAATCACAAATATGAAATTAAAATATTGCATAACAATCTTGATTCTTCACATGACCATTTCTCTTTGTAGGGAGAAGAACAAATAAATCTACTCAGAATTCATTAGGAAGATACAACAAAAGATGAATTTTATAATAAAAACAAGTTTACAAAACAAGAAAGAAAAATAAAACAACTTAATTTGATCTTTTCCCAAGCAAATCCCTTGAAGTTGTTTTGAATCTCTTTTTCTCTTTACAATAACACTCAAATCTCTCTTACAAATATAAGAAGAAGAAATATCTTATATTCCCTCTTCTTTTACAACTCTTAGAGAAACTTGCAACACTCTCTCACAACTGGAACTCACACCCCACTCATTAACACTCAACACACTACCTTTTCTGACAT